ATTTTTTTCTGCATAAATATACTACTTTATTTATTCCCTATTGGTGCTACCTAAGTATTTTTTGTTAAGAATTTTAAAGCATTAATTGTATTATTTGTATTTAAATTTAATTTTTATTAAAGTTTCTTAATCTTGTAATATTTTTATAAATTTTATATATTCTTAATATATTAATTTTTATATTTTCAATATATTTATAATACTTACTTAATTGTTGTTTTTATTTTATGAAAGACATATTGCAACGTTTTTTTTACATAAAAGTTTTTATAGAAAATATTTAATAATGTTAATATAAGTTAAATAATAATAAAAATAAAAATTGTAATTGATTCTACTTTAATTTTTACGAATTTATTAATTTTTACAATTTATAAATTTAAAGAAATTTGCGGGAATGGATGATAAATGTCGGACCAATCACAAACCGGGGAGAAGGTGGCCAGACTCTTATTAGAGGGTCACTAATGTAAAGCAGAGTTCTTCTTGGTTATCGCTCGTCACGTATCGTGCCTTGTGTGAACTAGGCATAAATTCACGAGCGCTGCGAGTATCGAGAATCGGAAACTGAACTCGAAACCTAAAATGGATCTATTTTTATTTTACGGAGTGGAGTCTCCTTATGGGCCTTCTACAATAAGCCGTAAGTCACAAATCATAAGTCATAAGCTAGAAATGGACCAATCACAGTCGTCAATTTTTAGTTTCTTACTTCCGATTTATGACTTATGGCTTATTGTAGAAGGCCCATTATATCTTATAGCGAATTCGATCGCCTGCACTAGTGTACACTGAGTGTAAATTTTCCCAGTGCAGCGTGTTCGATCGATGGCCCCTGTTTGGTGCACTGCACTCGTCGTATTCGGTAATATTGCATTATTATGGTAAACTGACTATTAAAGCAAACTGACCAAGTGCAAAATTTCTTGCACTGCCAATTTCGTCAGTGCAGTTTGCTGACACTACTAGGTTACACTCGCATAGTTTAGTGCAACACGAATTCAGTGCTAGTGTAAATCGTCCGAATTCGCTATTACTTCCTGGGCACAGACAACAGGGAATAAGCAGTCGTCCAATCAGAGATCTGGGATATAATATCGAACTTATACGTCACAGCTCTGATTGGACAGCTCGTTATTTCCTGCTGCCTGTGCCTATTGTATTTCCAGCTTAATCGTGCATGTGAACATCAATATACAGAAAGGTGATTACTTCTCATTTTAAAATTACGAGGGACAGAATCGATTACTGGGTATTGATTATGAAACTTTTTCCCTAGGATGAAAAGTGAAAAATTTTTCCATTAACTTCAATGGTAAAAAATTTCACTTTTCATCCTAGGGAAAAAGTTTCATAATTGATACCCTGTATGTACAGTGATAAGGAGCCTACAGTGTATCGATCATGAAACTTTTTCCCTAGGATGGAAAATGAAAAGTGAAAAATTTCTCCATTAACTTCAATGATAAAAATTTTCACTTTTTATCCTAGAGAAAAAGTTTCATGATCGATACCCAGACCAGGGGGTCAATCACGTACCTTTTCCCCTAGAGCGGAAACGTGAAAATTTTTCGCATGATGTGTGTATATGTTCATACATATTCATTTTTCACGGTTCCGCCCTAGAGAAAAAGTTACGTGATTGACCCCCAGAGCGGCGCAGCGGTGAAGAACCGAGCGATAGCCAATGAGAGCCATGCTTTTACGCAAAATCATGGCTCTCATTGGCTATCATTCGCCGCTTCACCGCTGCGCCGCTCTGGTCTGTAGGCTCCTATACGTGTTATGGGATGGCATCCTTAAGCTGGAGTTACATGGAGCGGAACAGTGAAACCAATCAGAACTCTAGAATCATTCCGCTGCTTTACTTTCTGCGATTGTGATTGGTCTCGCTGTTCCGTTGTAGATTTCCGCTCAAAGTAACTCCCATATATGTTTACATATATGGTAACTCCAGTTTAGGCCGGGTTCACACCTTGACGGAAAAACGGAAAGCGGGAAAGCAATAGCCAATCAAGTAGTCGACTTTCTGTTAGTTTTGTACTATTTACTACCAGCGCGAGTTCTGACCGGTTAACTGCTCTTCTGCTTTCCGCCTTAGTGTGCAGTCACATGGAGTCAGAAATAACGGAACGGAACAGTAACGGAACATTGATAGAAAAGAGATAGAACAATCCTATCTCTTTTCTATCAATGTTCCGCTATTTCTTTCTCCATCGGGACGCACCCTTAGTCTGGAGTCACATTGAGTGGAAATTACAACGGAACGGAACAGTGAAACCAATCAGAACTTTACAATCATTCCGCTGCTTTATTTTCTTCGATTGTGATTGGTCTCGCTGTTCCGTTCCGCTGGGGTGCGTTCAAAAATTACACTCAGATAACTCTTGGGTGCATTTTTGATATAATATACGTAACGTAAACTATAGCCTAGAGTTACCTAGGCGTAATTTCTGAACGCAGCCCTGTAGATTTCCGCTCAATGTGACTCTAGAGTCTTAGATATCAGAGAAGCGCAACCGATGTTCCGCGTCCTCATTAGCTGACTGTCAGCCAATCATGACATTCATTCAGTGGTATTAAAAATGGCTGACTAATAGACGATTGGTGGATTTCATATTTCGTCTGCAAACGACGCCATTTTTAATACTTTTCTTAGTAATTTTGCGATACTGACTTAAGCCGGTTGTGCTTCTCTGATATCTAGGACTCTATGGTCGGTATTCATAGGGTACGGTTAAAGTCTCGCTACAAATGCTTCGAAGCGTTTGATTGACCAATCAAAAGAAAGAACTTTTCAAATTGACCAATCAAGAAACGCTTCAAAGCATTTGTAGCATCGCGTTGACCGTACCCATAGTCGGTTCTTATTTCAAGACTGTCTTAAGTAATGTCTTAAGATGCTAAAGCGGCCCTCTGATTGGTTCGTAACTCCTCATGACTGAACTTAAGACGGTCTTGAATATAAAGCCTATTCTACATTGGTCGTATCGTAGCCATAGAGATAGTAGTACTAGAGTACGCATTGTCGGAAATTTGAGGAGTGGGGGTAATTCCATCTAGAAAAGGACGCACTCATTTGGAACCAATTGGAACCGTTTCTTTCTCTCTCGTTTCGCGCATGCGTATAGCCGTATACTCTGAGAGAGAGGATCGAAAGAAAGAATAAGGAATTGAAAGAGCAATCCTTGGCACTGGGAAACCTTTAACCTTATCAAAGTCAATTCTTTGTTTGATTACGAAGAGATCAGGCTTGTCCGGTCATGCTTGGAAAGCCAAAAGTTTCTTTCCGCGAGACTTAACTAAACCATGTGAATTTGACCAGAGAGAAACCTGAGAGCGGCCATGGTGGCCTTTTTCCTGTAATGCTTCTCACTAGCGGCACCAACGTCCATTTACGAGCTGCGGGAACTACGTACCACGAGAGCGAGCGAGACAGCGAGTCAGCGATATTTCATGATTAACTTACACAAACATAAATGGAGATGTGTCTCTAACTGAACTTCTCAATGTTTTACAAAATTTGAGAAGTTCCACGACGCAAACTAAAAATTGTACACAAATGCGGTTTACAGCTTTCGAATGAGTGAATCTTTACCTTTAATTTGCTTTTTCATCGACCTCTGTACGATTTTTTTTTTCACCGAGTTATTCAACGTTGAAGCAAAATGGAGCATTTTTACTTCAATGTTGAATAACTCGGTGAAAAAAAGTCGTATGAGATTGATAAAAAAAAACAAATTAAAGGTAAAGATTCATTCTTTCGAAACGGTTGTGAACGGCATTGGTGCATAATTTTTAATGCGTGCCGTGCAACTTCTCAAATTTCGTGAAAAATGTTGAAGTTTGACGCACTTTCATTTGTGTTTGTGTAACTTCACGAAATATCAGTAAGACCTTTTTTTTAAGTATTGATCTGAAAAGTAGAAATTTCAAGCTTTAAAATGCTTTTTAAAAAATCTCGATACAATGATTTTTCGCTGAGTTACCGCTATTCAACGATATTAAAAATATTTGCTAAAAATTTAGTGGCCCACTTTTTTTGCCTGTGAGTGTATATACATATATATGTATATAATTTCAGAAGCTCAGTCTTCGAAGCGCGCTGTTATGTTCTAGTATAATAAAAAGAATATCAAATTTATATTGAAATTCATAGTTCTATAATTTCCATAATTAACTTACGTAAATCCATAGTATAATTTTATTAAGAATTAAAACAGAAAATTATATATACAAAGTTGATATTAATCTATTATATAGAAAATAGTAATTGTAGAATAATAAAAAAAATATTACAAAAAATTAATACGTTTTTATTACTGAAGTACGAATAAATGTATTTATAATTCTATGAAGAAGATAATTCTATAAAGTTGAAAAAAGAAACAATGTGAATTAATTTTAATCATGAACGATTATTATGTAATACGTATGTAAAATATCAAAACGAGTCATATCAATATCACAATTTTCTTACATTAATATCCAAGTTAAGTATATAAGCTAGTATACAGAATATCTCTAGACAATTTTGTAAAGTTTGTTTATTATAGACATTTCATGTGGGCTTGTATCATAGAAATACGACGTTATTAGAATTGATTACAAAGTCGTATGCACTATTGTAGTTTAAAATTATATCTTTAAATTCCTTTAATCTAATAATAGCTTGTTTATGAACTTTCAAGTTTCTCCTTTTGTATCTTACCGCCGTAATCATTTTATCCAAAATGTAATGCAACCACAAAACATTTGTATATGGTTCAAATTTTCGCCAATTATTCCTGCATACATGATGGAAATACAAATAAACAGTATATAAGATAAAGATAAAAAAATCAAATGTATATGTGTGACTTACTGAATTTTGTCGCGCATAAGACGATAAATCTCAAATTGATATTCACCATGAGCAGTAAATAAAGCTGGATCTAATGCGAGATCATTATATATGCAACATCCTTGGTATAACATCCTCGATAGCGTAAAATCTATTATAGATACCTTGAGAAAAATTTATTAGAATTATAAAGAAAAATATACATAATAGTATTTAAAATATTTTTCGTACACAACGAACCTTTACACCTTTACTAGGAAACTTAATTTCTCTTCCTTCGAGATTATAATATATATATTGTTCTTTTGTTCTTGATATCAATACATTACCCCAATGCAAATCTCTGTGTTCAAATTCAAGTGCTTTTTCTGCAACTGCTAATACCAATGCAGTCTATACAAAATAAGAATTTATGATGAACTAATAATTTATCAAATATTGTTATCATTTGACATATCGCTGATATAAACAATTAACCTGTAAAAATAGAGCACAAGCTTCCTCTGCAGTCTGAAATACAAAGGCTTCAAGATCTTCTCCACCGTGATTAAGTTCAAGAGCAATATACAATTGATTTTCATCAAACATTGACGGACAATCATTATCGGATGTTTTATCATTATCATAAATATTCCAAAGTTTTACGAGCTTCTCTGGATATTTTCCTATAATACAGCTGATATTTTTAACTTCTACAAATCCATTAGTTTTGTAAATATCATTTAATTTCAAATTATCCAACTCCCTGCAAATATTTTCTTTCATGATTTTTATCAATAATGTTACCAATATGTGCATGTAACTGATTAATTAACTCACTTTGCAATCACAATTTCTGACAATATTTCATTAAATTTTTTTTGTGGCTCACCATTGACTAACCGTTCATTTTCTATAGGAATAATTTTTATAACAGATTTTTTACTTTCATATTCATGAAGAAAAACTTCTCCATAAACACCTTCGCCTATTTTATGGCAACATTCCAAATACCTGCCAATAAGAACAAAGTAATTAATGATACAATATATATTTGTATTAATTAATACAATTTGTGTGTATATAAATATATACTAAGATCTGCATACGAATCTGGAAAACGATCTGCGAAAGGTATACAACAGTTTTGTGAACATCTTTGTAAGACAACGTCTCTTGCAGTTGTGGAATGGTTACTAATAAATTGATTATTATGTATCAATGATTCCTCCCGGTCTGTAAATATTTATTTAATTATTAATATGATAACATTCCGTGTAATATGTGACGTAAAACGAGTACACCGTGCACAGCAACATGTAATTAAAAGCACTTACATGATAATTTCGAATTTGAAGATTTTTCTGCAGTTATTCCAAATGCCTCAAGAAATGGAGTGTCTTTGATTTCACATCTAGTGCTTGTATTATTAAGTACAACTCTCACTGAGATCCTTTTAGAAAATCTAGGATAACTCGTTAAATCGAATTCTTTATATTTGTTACTGTTGAACGATGATGCGTTTGATATGCTAAGTTTATCGCTAGATAAATTCGTATCATCTTTACCCTTTTTCATACAACTTTGGAAAATTCCTGCATATAACGATTATTACAATTTTAATATTATCTGCCGCTATGTACGCATTATATAATATTAGATTACGACAAAGCCTACCCATTTAATAAAAAGTTTATACATAAGAATCGAAACTTTTTTTATTTTTGTTTAATCTCATTATTATAAAAATGTATTAAATTTTGAAATATTACCACTTATACAAGTTATACGGTGTAAAAAATAACATCAAAATTTAAAATTTAAATATAAAAATTATTCAAGATCTCTTATTACATTTGTTTATAAGATGTTATTGGTTAGTACTTCTAAATTACAATTTTGTTTTAATAAGTCATTTTCAATTGTTTTTCAAGCAAATTACAAATATAAATATTTACACAAAATTTGAATACCTTATCTAATGACTTGGCGTTCTATGATCAAAAATTTATAGCAGAACGGAACGAGACCAATCGCAAAAAACAAAAACATAATGAATGCAAAGTTACAATTGGTCACGATGTTCTATTCCATTGTAAATTTCCGCTCATAAGACGCTAGATTTAGGTTATGGCATAAAAAAACTAGCAGTAAAACGTAAGTAGTTATTTAAATCGACGCAGTTATTAGTGCGTATAATTGACAAAAGTATATTTCCATATAAATCTTACATTAATTTCGCAAGAATTTTTTTTATTATCTATAATAGATAAGTCATACTACATTACGAATATTATAATAAATAAACATTAAAAGAATTCCTTTCTTGCTCATTATTCTTTTTTCATGAGGATCAAAAAATAATGTAGGAGTTAAGTCTTAATAAATATTAAGACATGAAGTGTAACTTTTTGGCGCTCGAAATGAAACTATGTGATCAATACACGGAACGCTGACGGTAAATGCAGATTGATAAGGAAATTTGAATGAAAAAGAAGGATAAGATAAAAACCGAGTGATCAGAAGTAGTATCTCCAAACTGAAATTGTCTTTCGTACTGAATTACTGTTATAAAAGTAATAAGTCAAAGTTGATAATAACAGATTAAGAAAATTGTACGAATTGAATCCGAGAAAATAATAAATTATACTTACAGGCAAAAAAACGGGCCATTAAATTTTAGCATAAATTTTTAATATTTTCAAACAGTGATAATTCAGTGAAAAATCATCGTAGCGAGATGTTTATAAAAAGGCATTTTAAAGCTTGAAATCTTTACTTTTCAGATATTTAAAAAAACAGTCGAACTGATATTATGTGAAGTTACACAAACATAAATGAAGATGCATAGAATTTCTAAATTTTTTACGAAATTTGCAAAGTTCCACGGCGCCAATTAAAAATTGCGCACAAATGTGGTTTACAGCTTTCGGAAGACTGAATCTTTACTTTTAATTTACTTTTTTATTGAGCTCTCTGTACGATTTTATTTCACTGAGTTAAAAGGGTTGTTTTTACTTCAATGTTGAATACTCGGTGAAAAACATCGTACAGAGAGCTCAATAAAAAAGTAAAGATTCAGTCTTCCGAAAGCTGTAAACCACATTTGTGCGCAATTTTTAATTGGCGCCGTGGAACTTATCAAATTTCATTAAAAATTTTGAGGTTTGACGGTCAAACTTTGACGTACCTTCATTTATGTAACTTCACGAAATATTGGTAATACTGTTTTTTGAAATACCGGTATGAAAAGTAAACGCTTTAAAATGCTTTTTTAAACATCTCGATACGATGATTCTTGATAAAGTTATTTTATCTTGTGCTTGTATTTTAACAAAATTAGAGTCATTTAATATCAGGAAAAAGGGTCGTTTTTGTTTCAACGTTGAATAACTCGGCAGAAAAAATAGTACAGAGCTCAATAAAAAAGCAAATTAAAGATAAAGATTCACTCTTTCGAAAGCTGTAAATACCATTTCTGCGCAATTTTTAATTGACGCCGTGGAACTTTACAAATTTTGGCTAATTTCACACTACACATAAAATACGTTTCCGGCTCAAATTCGATAAAAAGGAGTCCAATATAGCACCAATCGATAGATTTTATGGGAGGACTACGTACGCAGTATATAAAAATCACACATAATTATAATAAGCATTATGATCCAGGTTTGACCGTTATAGGCTGTTCTTTTGTTTGTTTATCAGTATACGGTCGTAACAGAATTTAATAAAATTTTAATGTTTAGTAAGCTTAAAAAATAATTTTATTATGCAATTTCTTAATTGTGTCCAATAACCGGTACATTTACCTTAAGATTTGTACAAGATCCCTCTAAAGCTTGATCTACTTCTACGGTCCACTTGATGCTATAAATAGATACTTTGCATTTTTTTTATCGGTCAATTAGTATAATTCTTTCTTCCGATTGGTCAATCAAAAGCTTCGAAGCATTTATAGCGTTAAGTGGACTGCACCCTACATCGTGCGTTAGTCAATCCGATGCATTAATTTTAAAATCAAACAACGTTTACGACACTATGATACAAATATAGATTAGGCTTTAGATTTGATTCAAATTAATGAACTCATAAATTAGATTCCATATTCAAAATGTTAGAATTTTTATATCGCTTTTTATCAACTTTTTTTTATCAGAGTTTATTTTGCAAATTTAATTTGTGAACTCACAAAATTGTGATAAAGCAATTTTAAGAATATTTTAATGTTCGTAGTATTCAACACATTAAAAAAAAAAAAGACTAAAAAAATTATTAATTCTGATATTCCCATCATCACAGCGTGATAATGGGTACTATCGCCGATTATACAGCCATACTCGCAACACATATTAATCTAAAAACTGCTAGTACCATTTTCGGAAACCTCGACGAGAATCTCCAAATGAATCTCTAAAAAATGCAGAATAAAAGTCAACGAATCAAAGTCAATACATGTCATCTCCACGTTGAGACGCGAGATCTACCCTCCAATCACAATAAATGTGGTGGCATTCAGATTCCACAAGTCGATGTGGTAAAATACCTTGGTATTCACTTAGATAGACGCCTTAAATTGGAAGAACCATATATTTGCAAAAAGTAAACTCGGACTGCAACTCTGCAGAATGTATTGGATAATGTCTAGAAAATCTAAGTTGTCATTAGAAAACAAACTATTGTTATATAAAAGTATCATAAAACCAATTTGGACTTATGGAGTGCAGCTGTGGGGCACAGCCTTTCACTCCAATATCGAAATTATTCAAATGTTCTAGTGTAAGATGTTTCGCATAATATTATAGTAGACATGCCTTGGTTTGTAACTAATGAAATTCTCCATCATGATTTATCATACATATCCCTACAGTAAAGAAAGTGGCGATAAATTATGTAAAGAAATATAAGAGAGGAAAGATTCGACACACATCCAAACACTCTAGCATAACTAATGAACTTCAAAAAAGGAGACTAACACAAATTACCTCAAGACCTCCTAAGTAAATAAGGGAAGGGAAAGGGTATGCCAATGGGCATATAACTGTGCAAGACGTTATTTACATTAATATCATTAGTATTAATGAATATCCACTTTGTGATAGATTGTAATAAATTAATTTAAAAAAAAATTCTGGTGTTCGAAAGTCATTCTGTTGTCAAACACTATTATCTAATAAAAAATTATATATAAGAAATTACCTTGTTTTTGCATATTCAGTATATTTCTGACGCTGCGTCTCCATTTTTTCCCCTTTCCAATACTTAATTTGTCTAAATTCGATTCATTGTTTATATTATTTAATATTGACAAAGATCTAGCCCAATACTTGCCCGGTTTTAAAAAAATAGACTTCTCCATTTGTTCATTTAAATCACTGTATAGTTGAGTCATGCCATTGAAGGATTCAAAATAATTATGAGATAAATTCTTAGAATGTTCAGAGTTATATGTTGATTGAATATTAGAAAAGTCTTTGTCAGTTGTGACATTGTGAAATACTTCGTTGTTCGATTGTAAAGCTTCATTATTTATGCTATTGGAAATATTTGACGTGCTTAAATGCCATTTAGGATATTGTATCCTCCTTCCTATTCTAATCGGATCTTGTAATCGTATAAGCAGCACACGAGCATCAATGTTAATGTTATCTTGACTTTCACTTAATGAACTGTGCTTAATGTTAACAGTTTTATCTTTAAGGCTTTCATGAATTGCTTCTGCTATATTTCTTCCTGTTATAGTGTGCTTTTTTTGAAATTCATTTTTTTGCACATTATCTAAATCATTGAATGTTAAACATACTTTGGAAGGTGATATGTACTGAGAGTCTGTATCAGTTAGACTATTACTACTTGATAATTGCTTTTGTTTTAAACATAAATCAATGGATGACTCTAGTGTATCCGTTTCTACAAATATACGCGTATCAGGATACTCCTTTTCTATTTCATTTGTATCTTCATTTGTATTTTTTACCGAATGATTGTGATTATACGTTGTATCATCAAATAATGATCGTGATTGATCAGTAGACATATTTAATAAGTGTGGACTTTCTGTTTCAACACTGAGTTCTACATCATATTTCTGAGTAACAGTTATAGGAACATTATTTTTGTAAGATTCATTTTTAACAATGGAATCTGTAGTTTGTGATTTCTGAGATAATAAAATTTGTGTTTCCTGTATATCTGCAGATTTGAGTTTAGAATATTCAGACACCAGAGGAGAATTTCTCCTATTAATACTGGAAATATCTTCTTTTGTAGTTACTAATGAACCTTCTTGACTCCAAAGTGACTTGTCGTAATTATTAGAATTAATAGGAGAAAATATGACTAAACCAGGAGATTTGACTCGTTTGCCAAGAGGAGTGCTAGAAACTATGTTTTGCTTTTTTTCAAATATATTATTATCTTTTACAAATTCTTCTATTTGTAATCTTTCCACTTTTACAAAACTGTCTTTAATTAGATCTGTCTTTTTTTTTGTATCATATGATGTTAGTTCAATACTTTTGTTGCAATTTGAAATAATTTCAGATGAATTACAAAAAACTAAATGTGATATGTTTGGTTCATCTTTTATATTGATAGTATCTTTTATATTTTTTTTACTTTGCGATACATTTTTAACAATGTTATTGCATAATGCTACAGAACAATGTTTAATTGACAAATGTTTAAAGTCTCTAAACTCGTTATGTTCAGTTGAGATTGATTGTGAAACAATATTTTGTACTTCAGAAATATTTCCCTTATTTTGTAAAGTATTTGTATACAAGAACTTTCCATTATATAATATATCTTGCTTATTTTCTCGAAATTTTTCATGATTCAATATATAATTCTGCACAGTACAAGCATTTAATTTAACAAAACATGGTTTGATAATTTGTTGATAGTTTCCTATTTGCTTGCAATTAGCAGTAGAGTCATTAGTTGTAGTTGATTGATTTTGTGATGTAATTGTTTTGCCAATCTTTAAAACATTTTGTAGCAAAGGTTCATGGATATTGCATAAAATATCGTTCTTATATGAGACGTTGTTCAAATCATCTATAGCATTAGAATTTATACAAGATACTTGTTCGTTGCACACGCAACTAGATTTAAATTTATTTTTTAACACTTTCTTTTTGTTTAACTTGTTTGCTTGTCTCTTCTGTCCCTAATTATCAATACATATTATTAAAAATAAATTTAATTGTTTATTCTAATAATAAATGGACATACCTGCGTTTTTCCTAAGTATGTTTTATCTTTAACTGACATTATTTTTGTTTTTTTAGGCAACATTCCTGTAGAAATCATACTTTCTGATATACATTGTTTTGGTTTCCTGCATTTACGAGCTAATTTATGGCTAACATTTGTTGAACTTGATATATTATTGTACATAAAAAGATCAGAATCTGTATGTTCAGATTTTAAACTTGTTGCATCGGTAGTATTATTATCACTGCTACTATCTTTCCATGAATCATTTTGATTTATATCCAATGGCATAGGAGGTATTCTATATGTTGAGATAAATTTAGAGTTAGGTATACACATATAAATATATAGAATCTTCAATATATGACACATAAAAATAGTCATAAAAAAAATATAAACAAAAATAAGTAAATTTATATAATACAAATTTTTCTTACACTACTTCTTTGGCAATTCTGTCAAATGTTGTTTCGAATGGATCATAATTTAAAGAATCATTATACAATTCATTTTTATCAAAATGATTATTTTTCACAAAATATTTTTCACTTGATACAGCAGATAATGTTGATGAATTTATCAGTCTCTTCGCAGGTTTTCTCTGGTAAGTTCGAATTGGTTTTTTGCTCATTATTTCACCTCAAAAAATGAAAATATTTTCTTTAAGTTATTTTTCAGAGCATATAAACAAGTTAGAAAAAAAAGGGTAATTATTTAGAATTGCTTCCTCAGCTAAAATTTTAATAAAAATATACTCATTCAACACGACACGTTTTCACTAAAAACTAAAAAATCTGGTAGAGAAACACGACGGCAGAGAGAACCATGGCTGCGTTCAGCAGAGAAAACAGCTGAAAGTAGCTTTGCAACTGTTGTAAAATTCTTTAATATGATTGGTCTTGCCCTTACTTCCTTATTACATCTAAATATATAAGCCAATCATATTCAAGAATTTTACAACAGTGGCAAAGCTGCTTTTTCTGCTGAACGCAGCCCATGCCGGCTTTTTTTCCAGTAACCATCGAATTATTGGCGATGCAAAGATCTCCTAGGCTGGTATTCATAGTCGGTTCTTCTTTCAAGACTGTCTTAAGTAATGTCTTAAGATGCTAAAGCGGCCCTCTGGCCGGTATTCATAGTCAGTTCTTATTTGAAGACTGTCTTAAGTAATGCCTTAAGATGCTAAAGCGACCCTCTGGCCGGTATTCATAGTCGGTTCTTATTTCAAGATTGTCTTAAGTAATGTCTTAAGATGCTAAAGCGGCCTTCTGATTGGTTCGTAACTCCTCAAGACTGTACTTAAGACGGTCTTGAATATAAGAACTGACTATGAATACCGGCCTCTGATTGGTTCGTAACTCATCAAGACTGAACTTAAGACGATCTTGAATATAAGAACTGACTATGAATACCGGCCTCTGATTGGTTCGTAACTCCTCAAGACTGAACTTAAGATGGTCTTGAATATAAGAACTGACTATGAATACCGGCCCTAGTGGCGGCCGATAGAAGCTTCGCTAGTCAGACACCTTATATTTTTTTTTTTTTTTTTTTAGCGAATCCAATGTTACGATTTCCTTGGTTGCGTTCCGAAATTCGACTCTGTCAACTCCGAGTATGTTTTATCTTTGTTCAACATTTGGCGAACAACAAGGATGAAAGATACTCAGAGTTGACAGAGTCGAATTTTGGAACGCACCCCTTACTGATTACATCTTATGTAAGTTTCACACTGGGGTGCGTTCAGAAATGACACTCAGATAACTCTTGGGTGCATTTTTGATATAATATACGTAACGTAAACTATAGCCTAGAGTTACCTAGGCGTAATATCTGAACGCAGCCCTGCGTACGACATCCGACGTACGGCGGTACGATATCCAATAGGAAAACTTGTTTTCTAGATATATAGCTAACAATATTTTGTTGCATCTAGATTGGTCGACAGCGCGCGCCAATGGGATCTCGGACCCTGTGGTGTGAGCGTTCAATAAGAACCGACCCGAAGCAGTGAATATTTACCTTAAAAGCGAAACCTATTGGTTATAGGCGTGCGCCAATCAAATCGCGGACCCTATGGTCTCCGCGTTGATGAAAATTAGATTTGTTAGGGTCTGCGCACAATAGGAGAAATATTAGGAACAGATATTAAATATAAGAATTTTAACCTATCAGAATTGTGTACTGTGGAATGTGCGCTTTCTGACAGGTTAAAATTCTTATATTTAATATCTGTTCCTAATATTTCTCCTATTGTGCGTAGACCCTTAGTTTTCAGTGAGTTCCTAGAACTTCGTCTCCGGTTGGCTGAAGACTCGGGCCAATTAGATAATGGGCGCGATACGTGCCTTAATACTATGGGATACAATCCACTTAAAGCTGCAAATGTTTCGTTGACCAATCAGAAGAAAGAATTTTACAAATTGACCAATCAAATAGCGTTTTCGATTAACCGACTCGACCCGACTCCGGGTTGACTTCGATCACAAGTTCGATTTGAAACTCAGATTACTTGCATTGACCTGCCCAGCGTCATGGCGGAAGAGTTGTCTTTTATAACCTCAATAATAATACCTCAGAAATAATCAGAAATTGTTTATCTTACGAAAATTGTGCGAGTCGATAAATGGTATATATCATTTAAAGTAGGTAACAATTTCTGTTTATTTCTGAGGTATTATTATTGAGGTTATAGAAGACAACTCTTCCGCCATAACACTGTGCAGGTCAATGCAGGTATTGAGTCTCAAATCAAACTTATGATCGAAGTCAACCCGACGCGGAGTCGGGTCGAGTCGGTTATAATCGAAAACGCTAATGGCTCCCGCAGACAGAACGCGGAAACGCTTGCCGCGCGGAGGAAGTTGGCACGATATTTGGCTCCCGCAGACAGAACGCGGAAACGCTTGCCGCGCGGCGGAAGTTGACACGATAACCAATCAATATCTTGCCGGCGAGACGCTGATTGGCTATCGAGGCAACTTCCGCCGCGCGGCAAGCGTTGCCGCGTTCTGTCTGCGGGAGCCATAAAAGAATGGCTGCGTTCAGCAGAAAAAGCAGCTTTGCAACTGTTGTAAAATTCTTGAATATAATTGGCTTATACATTTAGATCTAACGAGGAAATAAGGGCAAGACGAATCATATTAAAGAATTTTACAACAGTTGCAAAGCTGCTTTCTGTGCTGAACGCAGCCAATGCTTCAAAGCATTTGCAGCGTGAAGTGGATCGCACCTTATGTGTCAGCCTTAATATCCTGCCATCTTAGGAGCGGGAATTCTGACATTATCCTGATTGGAGGATCCGAATTGGCGGGCTCCAATCAGCGTTCGAGCAGCAATCAAGCGCGCGCGAGAATGAATTTCTCTCCGAGGTCCGCACGTTTGATAGATATCGTTGATCCCGGACGGATCACGGATCGAGAGCTTTTCGATAATTTTAAACGGGGTTATCTGCGTTTGGCGGTAATAAAAAAAACGTGCCGCTACGTGAAGTAAGTGCAAATACAACGCGTTAAGTATTAATAATCATGTAAACGATTCAATAGCGAGAAGTTGAATGTTAAGAACGACGTTTCTGTCGAGTGTGTCAAAGGAAAGCATACAATTATAAGTCGTGTGTAATTTAGTGGTAAGTGACATATTTAACCTTTATATAATAATAGTACATTCTATAAACAAATATGCCCCCACTTGCTACACATAGAATTTTTCATTACAAGTGCTCGTCGTAATGTACCCTATACAGCAACGTTTTTGCGCAGAAGAGTGGGATTAGAGAAATAACTCAACGGCTTGAGGTATTGGCTATATATTTACCGCACGCAAAAGCGTAGCAGTATAGGACACATAACGTGTCCGCGTGATGAAATAGTACATTGTGTACGGTGGGGGAATGTTGTTTATTGTGGGGACGGGCGCGACGGCACGAGCGAAGCGAGTGCGTACGCGCGCCCGTGTCGACCTATAAACAAATACTTATGCCCCCACTGTTACACATAGAATTCTTCTTTACAAGTGCTCGTCGTAATGTGCCCTATACAGCAACGTTTTTGCGCAGAAGAGTGGGATTAGAGAAATAACTTAACGGCTTGAGGTATTGTTTATTTACCGCACGCAAAAGCGTTAATGTGTAGGACACATTACGTGCACGCGTGAAGAAAATTGATATTAAAATTAACAAAGTAGTGCTGCAATCATTAACGATATACTTACCTTGTAGATATTTACCTGTTGGATTACTTACCTTTGGAATACTTACATATCTCCGAGAGGTCCGCGCAGCATCCGAAGGGTCCATCGTCTGGCATCGTCCAGGATCCAGTGACGAAAGACCGGCATCTTCCTTCTTTGTTGTTGGTTAAACAAAGTGGCGACCGTCCAGGCATCTAAGCAGTAAGTCTTGTAACAAATTAACTTAAAAACTATCTTGGAAAGAAAAGAGCAATAGGGTTCAAGCGCAGATAACTTCACGCAATGCCAATATACATATATCAAGCAAATCTATTTATTACAAACAATTGTGCTTACATGTTTCGGCTTATTTTTGAACCTTCTTCAGAGACAATGAAAATTACATAAATAAATTATAATTTAAAAATAACAAAGGATAAAAAGATGTTTAATCATAGTGAGCTCCCTCACAACCGAGAAATAAATTCTGATGACAATTTCATCTTAAAGAACACAATAAAATGAATAATAAATGAAGAAAGGAAAGAAATAAATAGAATGGGAAAATAATTTTTCCAGAATTTCAGCATTCTATTTATTTCTTTCTATAACTTTTTCTAATAATTATTTATTATAACTTTGTTATAACAAAATTATAATAAACAAGTAATATTACGTAATATATATCGAAATTGACGTTGATATTAACAAGCATTTTCAAAATTACGTTATTTCCGATTTAATATCATGTGTCACAGCTTTAGCCGATCTCTATACCTAAAGGATTTCTATATATGTATAGCATTTTGATGATGAGAGAAAGAGAATTATAGAGTCCTCAAGACATAACAATCCTATTACGACATTTTTATTTTGCACAATATTACATTTGTTTTTTACAATAAATTTATAATAAAAATACTTTATAATAAAAATATTTGCGTATGCATCGTCTAGAAAAAAATTAGAAAGTTCCAATACATCTCATTATCATTCACCTGAGAAAATTTACAATAAATTTCTGTGATATCCTATTTATTACAATATAATATAAAAATTATTGTTATCAAAATAGTATTCAAAACGATGACTATACGATTATGTTCAACGCTTTGTAATTTATTCTTGTTCATTTATATATTTAATTAAGATAACGTTTTGAAATATAAAAAGATTATAAAGAAGATCGCTGATTAGTTTAAAATTTTGAAAAAGATTCGGTATTAAGGAAATGATTCTGTACATGTTTCAAGCTTATTCTAATTATAACTGCGTTTTTAAAAAATTAAAATTTATATCCACTTGCATGATAATTTCATATTCACTATAAAATTTACATATATTTATAATCTTGCTTATTATTTTTAGTTATACTTTTTATTAATATATTTATTTTATATTCAAATTGGTTTTCTTTTCTTCAAAATAATATCTGTACAAAATGTCCACTATTGCAAGTTTGAAATCATTTATACAGAAAAATTTCGAATTAAAATGATGTTTTGAACATAATTAATCATGTAAAATGAAAAGAAGATTAGTTTGAGAGAATATAGGAACAAGAAAAATATATGTATAATGTGACATAAGTAATGATTTAAATCTGCCATAATTGAGTAAAAATTTTACAGTTTTTTATAATTAAGATAAATTAAAATAAATACACTTACACACTATTCATTCATTAATACATTCATTGACTTATTGTGATTGTTCCTATTATATCGCAGACTATTAATATTCAATGTATAATTACAATTTATAAATTGATGTTCTTATAATCGAACGATAGTAAATAATACAATGACTTTTTATTGGATTCAATTGTGGAAATGTTTATAAATATATGAGGTATTTAATGTGGAGCCGGAGATTTTCTTCAAGAGAGCGAGAGAGAAAGAGATAGAGACAGATGCCATTCGCTTCTTGTTCAGGATAATGACATAGCCTGAAATTGTAGAATTTATAAGACATTTTATATAATTTATTCTGTAGCTATTTATTTTAATTGCATGAGTGACTAATCATTTTTTGGTGTGAGGTAGTTCTCGTTTCGCGTAGAAAGTTGTAAAATATATGTCAAGATCAAGGTCATCGGAGATGGCTCCCGTTTTCTTAATATTTACTTTTTAATCTTTTTTTTATAAAGTTACTCGAGATCATGATTTTTATATATGTGAAAGTTAAGAACATTGTAAGTTGCTTCTCTTTTGTATAGTTTTACCAAAAAATTTTCTATTAAAATCACATTTTAACTCTAAATATTTGGAAATTATAAGAGACCGCCACTTAAGTTATTAAGGCAAAGTTACTCAGGATGATCTTAACAATATATGTTAAAGTCGAAGTCATCCTAACTGAGAATCCACGGAACTAAATAATTATACCACAATGTTTAATGCAACCTTTTAATTAATGTATAATAAACAAACTCTATTTAAACTTACCTGTTATAAATTATTAATGAAATATACCGAGAACTGCAAATTGTATTGATAACAATGGAAGATTAATTGACACGTAGCCAGCAGAACTACCTGTAATTAAATTAAAATTTTTGATAGTATAATTTAGTTTGTAGTTGCATTTAATTTGACACAACAAGAGTGTTGTGTGTATGCATATGCACGCATGCACTCATGTATGTATACAGGGTGATCAAAAGTCTAAATACAATCGAATATCTTGAAAAAAATATTTCAAATATGTTGTAGAGCTTAACAAGATCTATTTCTTAATATTATCAGTTTGACTTTGAATAGAATCACTAAAGTCACATCCATTTTTATATACTCTTATACCTTATCTTGACATTCTTTAAAGTACAAAATATTTTTTTCATTACGTACTTTTTTAATTATAAGGCTTGAAGTTATAGTACCGCCGTTATCCAAGATGTACCACACGGAGGTTGCGTGGTCTGATTTACACCTCTTGAGTATGTGCGTGCGTGTGTGTAAAGAATAAATGTTCGAACTGTTGTCCTTGCATGGTCAACGTGAAGATGAACATAAGCATTATATAAGTCAAATCACTCGCGTTGATTGCGTCTCTTTTCCATGGTAATGCTTAAAGCAACAATACTTATTGTTATAGTCGAGCATAAAATTTGTTAATAATATAAAGGACTAAATAATTTATATTTCTAAAGTTTTCATTGTAAATCGTTTGTACATAATTCGATATTATAATTAAAATGGAATTTAGAAAAAGAGAACAAATAGTTATTTTGATAATGTAAATATGGAAATTGCGAATAATCTTTCTTTGAAAGCGTTTTTAAGATACAAGAAGTATTAAAGATGGCACAAGCCGAAGGTCATTATACAAATGAAAAATCCTCAATAGAGATATTAGTATATTCATATAAAAACCCCATACTTTACTCTAAAATTCGTCCAGGCATAATAATATACTATGTGACCGCGAAAATTTTCCAAAAATTGCGTGGGATTGGTTATGTCAAAATACCTCTATTATTTCCTCAAGAAAAATTAAGAAGATAGATCTTACATTATACAAATGAGTCATCTTATGTTAATGTATGCTTGTTTCATGATTGTTTTTTTTTTCTTCAGAAACACCGCTACTGAGGAAATTAAAAAATTGATTCGTGGTAGGAGATATAGCAAAGACGGTGAATACTCTGAACCAAGATACTATACCGATACATCAGTACGATAAGAGAAATATGAGTCGTAAGTAACAGGGAAAGAGAAAATATAAGAGTGGTATGGGTAAATAGATGTAAATTATGCCGAAAAATGTTGACATGAGGAATAAAAAATAAAAGGAGAGAGAGAAAAGGTGGTAAGTATATAGAATGTCCCAAAATACTCGAATGTCCTTTCGCTGACAGAATATTCTAAGACAGAAACCTATACAAATATGTCCAGATATAATAGTTTTCAAATCATAAATGATTAAAGTTAGTCAATTGTAGCGTCTGAAAATCGCGCGCTCCGAGACGGACATCGCGCGGGACTGTTGTATACATGGCGTCACTAATGCCTAACCATCCGAATTTGCAGTAGTATCAAGGCATGTTCAAGGCGTACGTTTCTTTTTAAATATTGATACATTATAACTAATGATTATTCGAAGAACGTAACGCAAATTTAAAATTGAATTATTATAAATTTAAACTAGACATAAACTGAACTAATAAACGTAACCAATAAGAAATTGTCTTTAATAGTCGAGCTGGATCTTAAATGCTGATAATAATTCCATGTGAATTTATATATTATATTATAATTTATATATTATATAATATTACGTATCTAGTCTTTTAAATCGCGCGTCGAACAATTTTTCACATACATGCATATATTATGAATTATCGTGTATAGTAAGCAGCTAATCGGTTATAGTAGCGAGCGTTCCGTATAATTGCCTGGACGATAACTTGGGCTAACCCTTATTATCTTTGTACTAGTTCCTTATAATTTAAAAGTTAAGCATCAGATAACATTTTGTAAAAGAAAAATTGCGTCTTAGAATTGAGTCAGAAATATGGTTTCAAGGACAAACAGTTGTTCTGAATCTCCTCCTGAAACATCACATTTTACACACACGCACGCACACACGCACGTAAAATGTTTGGTAATGATCGGATTACCTTAGTACACGCAACGGATTAAACTGACAATGAGTTTAAAAAATCCTGTAATTTTGCAATATTCAATGTTTAACAAGAAATTAATTACTAAAGCGCGCTGAATAAACGCATATTTGCTCGACCAAGTATAAGAGCGATAAGATACGATCAATGTGAAAAATCATTTTTTTTTTTACCATTTCCGTGTGTTACCGATATTTCTGGTTATAGTAAATAACTCCCTGCTCATCTAGCTGTCTCGAGGCTGGACAATGTTATTTCGCCGCATGCTTGCATTTGTTGGTAGGCTGAACAGATTTGGAAAAATCTTTAGGAATTAATTTTTCGTTAACTATTACAAAAATTACAAAATGGTACAGGACTTTTTGATTTAGTTTTATTTGCTATACGTGCTTATGAAAAGTGAAATCTTACCAGTATATATAGTAATAAATTGATTATCTTGAGCTAAACTGAATCTTACCATCATCATTATTAGATTTAGATTTGCTTAAGGTCTGGATTTCCATTTTACGGTGTAACTTCGTTGTTGTAGTTGATGTAGTAGTAAATGTTCCTGCACAACAAGTATTATATGTTATATTAGTTTAGTAATAATTAATAAATAATAAAGATACGAAGTAAGAATTTATAAATTAGATTTTGAGATCAATCAAATCAAATAAAATATACTTTAGAACTACAGCGGTAATTGATGTATAAATTAAAATATATCTGTTTATTAGAACAGTTAATTGAGGTAAATTAAACAATAATAAGAATAACACAGCTTTGTGATTAAATTAAATTGTTAGAATAAGGTAATTTAATAGATATATTCAATAAACGCTCTTGCGTTGAGGCATGTGTCTAATCTTTTTATCTATTTTGAGTATATTTTAGACTCAATCAAGACGAAGATTCAATAGGCATATTTTATAGAGAATTAATGATTTCATCATTAATATAAACATTTATTATTCATTTTACTATTTTAATAAAAAAAAGAAATTTTTCTTAGAGATTGCTAAAAATCCTTCTAAGAATTTTCAACCTAAAATGAAGGTTTTTAAAAAGTTTAATTGAAATTTGAGATAGTCGGTTTTTGGAAGTTTATCCAATCTTTAAAGTAAGTTGTTAATTATATTCAAAATAATAAACTTAATAGTTAAAGAATCAATATTTATATTGCTGACATATGTATAAAATAAAATATTCGTTTTAAAAATACTTTAATTTTATAATCTCGCAAGTTTGTTATTTGGTATAAAACGGTCTTATTAAAACATTTAAGCTTGTTTCCTTTCGAAAAACAATATATAAATAAACTTATAAAATGTAACAAAATCTTTATAATCTGAAAATAATAACTTATAAAATAAGGCTTTATGAATAAATCAATTTTGGTACTAAAAAGCATAAAAAGCCAACTCTTGATTTTAATTTTTAATAATTTATTAATTATTAATTTTTGCTAAATTATTATATAATCTTTCTGAATAAAATAAAATTAATTATAAACGTTTCGACGTCTTTTTCGTGTCATTTTCAGTGTGATATTTGAATATACAAACAATTGACGATAATATATTATAACAATTTAACATATCCCCTAATTTTGTCAAATTTAAAACATTTAACATTTCTCCTAATTTTGTCAAATTTAATTTTCGCTGTAAAAATCGCATTGTTTTAGTGTGTTTTAGTTACAATAGAACATTTTCACATTAAAACAATGCGATTCAGCAGCGACAATTGACAAAATTAGAGGAAATGTTAAATGTTTATAATATATTATCGTCAATTGTTTGTATATTCAAATGTCACACTGAAGATGACACGATAAAGGTGTCGAAACGTTTATAATTAATTTTATTTTATTCAGAAAGATTATATAATAATTTAGCAAAAACATCCAGCGTTGGCTTTTTATGCTTTTTAGTATCAAAACTGAAAATAATATCTGAAAATAATAAATATAAAAAAATACTATAATATATTGGAATAAATAAAATTAAAGATTTTAATGAATCTATGGCTCTTAGCCCTGTTCTCTTATTAGTTATAAAAAAATACTTTTAAAAAATTCGTAAGTAATTCATTACGCAAATCATTATTGTTGATAGTAATCTCGAAGTACAAGTTGTTGACAACCTTGTCAGACTAGTACACTAGCGTCTTTACTAACAAAAACAAAACCTTTCGCCAAACGGGCTAATGGTTTTAAGCAAAAGGTTAGACATTTATTTAGCCTTTTTGTAGAACGTGTATCATTAACCAATAATGCTGATGTGAGTTAGCCTTTTCGCGAAAGTGCGTCAGTCTAACTGAGGAATGATCGTTGATTTTGCAAAAAGGCTGCGACATATACATGTATATTAGTTAACAATTGTATAACCGTTTGATTACTGGACACAACAAATCTAAAATTCAACTAATACGATTAATAACGAGCAAATAAAATGTTAAATTAACAATTATTTACTTATATTTGAGATTACATCAACATATTATATTGATTAAAGTAAATATTTGTAACTAACCAGTATAATAGACAGTCTTGCGTGAAACGTTGTATAAAGCTTTAGATATGCTGAGCAAACATTTAACAATCGTTGTTTCCGGTAAACCTTCATCCAATAGGATGATACTCAGTAGGATATTATATAGCCCATCGTCACGTAGTTTTATGGTGGGATTTTCAATTTGCCTCTTCGGAATACTTCTGCAATGTCAATATGTATGAAGAATGACAATTATAAAGAATGGTATAAAGCAAAAATGATATTTACATTTTGATAAACCTCATATTTTAACGTGTGTTTCAAATAAAAATTTATTTTATGATGGCCTTAAGCTAACCGCACACGATGCATGATTTTTATGCTTACTCCCTTGCATGCTAATCAATGCATGGTACTTTGCTCGGCTCGCAATTTAAAAGTCATCACACGAAGGTGACAATTATGGCAGTTGTATAATGATGGTTGATCGTTTCTTTATCACAAAGAATTGATCAAAATTATATATATTGAATTGCTATGAATATATGAGGTACAAATCACATAATGATACGAACTAATAAAGAAGAGACGGACTAGCAGAGAAGACTATAACTTATACATCACGTACGCATGACACCAATCAGTCACGTTTTCTTCTTCTTAATTTGAGTGGCCCAAGTTCCAGCATAACCGAATTAACGTGGCCAGTCGTACCAAAAGGAAATAATATGCATCAAAAAACAAATGTGAAAACAAAGATGCAATGCCCGCGAATATGGTGTAACCCGAATGGACACCGGGCGCCTGCGTCTACGACGTCGTCACGTCGTAATAACGCGCGTCAGGGCGAGCGAAGCCCAGCCGCGGACACATATCAATGGAAACCAATGCACAGTCAAAGTCGGCAACACTTTCAAAAATATACAATAACGAGCACCCGAATATGCAGTGCTATCAGTCAATAGATGCAATATTGACTGCGTTCGCAAACGTTTCAGCATCTAAAGAGTCACACCACAAACCATTCCAGCAATGCCGTGCAGATCAGAGAGCCAAGAAATTGAAACCTCAAGACAAGGAACAACGGAATGCCAAGGAAACCAAGCCAACAAAAGTGCTTCAATTGCAATGAGATGGAGCACATCGCGATGTATTGCAAGAAGGCAAAGAGAGAACGAGGATTGTGCTTCAAGTACGAGAAAAAAAATTTGGACTGTTATCACGGCATCTTAATGTCTACATTCAAATATGTATTTCTTCTCCATTTGGTCTATCCATATTTGATGCCAGTATTATAGAATTCTTTTTCAATCTCCGCCCCCCTCTTTTTCTATCACGGTCAATGAAGTCAATTGAATAAATCACATCGCTTCTCTGTTCGCACATGATACAAACACACGTATACCATTCTTAAATTCTCTCGCTATTGCCCGAATTTCCAGATGTATGCATATATATATCAATGTATATATATATATATGTATATAATTATAAAAAATAATGGTAAATTACATAGCTATAGGAATATTATAGTAGCGGCGTGTTATAACTTAAAGAAATGAGGCAGGAACTCAATTTCAAGTTAATTATAATAATTAAAAATTAAAAAACTCTCGACATATAAAATATATTAAAAAGGAGAACAAAGGCTAATGAGAGCCACATCTCAAATACAAAAAAATCACATATATTAATGTCTTCAGAAAAAAAAAAACAACAAATATATTAATAAAAATGCGCTAGGATATTTTCAGATTAAAAGTAACGCACGAAGATTCATACTACATGTTTCGGCCTTGTATTTCGGCTCTTCTCAGATATACTTACAATTATAACGCAGAAATTCTATAAATATGACAATGACAGTTTTGTTAAAAAAATAAAAGAACAAGAGAAAAAAAAATTAAAAAATGTAAGATGAAAAGGTGATCAGAGAGATTGAATCACTCGTCAAACGATTGGATGACCGAATGTGAAGATTTCTTATTATTCTATTAAGAACATAAAATTGTTTCATATTTTTTAAACTAAAACAAGTAAAAATTATCTCTCCGGTGAAAAATTCACATCTGCGCCTTCAAAATAAAAAGATCCATGTCAAAGATTAAAATCATCAATAATACGGAGTCAGAAGAAGTAAAACTTTTTTGATGTCATAAAGTAATTATATATACGTCAAATATATTATATAATAATAGTTCAGTTACACGTCATTCTGTCGCAACGAGCATAACTGTAATGTGAATTATCTTGGTAATGTAAAGTCAAACTCTATTTATGATGACAGAATGTGTTACTGAACTATTACATATTTGATGTATATAATTATTTTATGACATCAAAAAAGTTTTAGGTACTTCTTCTGACTCCGTATTATTGACTATTTTAATCTTTGACATGGATCTTTTTATTTTGAAGGCGCAGATGTGAATTTTTTATCGGAGAGATAATTTTTACTTGTTTTAGTTTAAAAGATATGAAACAATTTTATGTTCTTAATAGAATAATAAGAAATCTTCACATTTGGTCATCCAATCGTTTGACGAGTGATTCAATTTCTCTGATCATCTTTTCATCTTTGATATTTTTTAATTTTTTTTCTCTTGTTTTATTTTTTTAACAAATCTGTCATTGTCATATTTATAGAATTTCTGCGTTATAATTGTAAGTATATCTGAGAAGAGCCGAAATACAAGGCCGAAACATGTAGTATGGATCTTCGTGCGTTACTTTTAATCTGAAAATATCCTAGTGCATTTTTATTAATATATTTGTTTTTTTTTTCTGAAGACATTAATATACGTGATTTTTTATATTTGAGATGTGATTCTCATTAGTCTTTTTTTCTCTTTTCTTAATACAAATTAATTATAATATAATCCTTCTCTTTTTTTAATACGTTTGTAAATTAAATGCAATGATAAATGTCGAGCATAAAATCAAATTGTTAATCAATAAAACAATTTAAATATTGTAGTACACTCGTTTATTAACTTTAGAATAAGCTTTAGATATTAGTTAATATAACCTACATCTCTTTTTATTTAATTTAGAGCCCAAGACCATGTAATAATGCAATCTGCTTGCCTTACGGAGATTGCACATAGTCCAGTCCTAAGTTATAAGGATTGATAAGTCCTTGACTCGAAATTTGGATTAACATTCACATTGCTTGCTGGAAATAGGCATTATAGCGTCCGTTCGGACATTGACCCACGATTCGAAGCAATAAAAAGTGTTCGACTCGTAGCATACGCCTCTATGCGTATACCTGCAAGACAGAGAGTCTACGCATTCTATACACTCTTAATTTTCATCATTTGTGTTTCTCTCCAATCAATTTTTAAATTAAATTTTCCAAAAGTTTGGACGTAATAAAAGTATAATTAAAAAATTACTGAACTTTTTTATAATTTAAAAAATATTTCAATAAAAATTGTTATACTTACTCGACGGAAATATTTAAAGTCGGTTGAGGATAAAGTCCTTCAGCGATACATATTATTTCAACTCCATTTTTATCATCTATAATCATTTTTCTATACACAAGTTCGAATTTTTCCTCTGTAGCTGTAACAAAAATTAAATATGATGTTGGTGATTGATGTTTTAATAGGTAAATATAACGAACGACTCCTTTTATCTCCTTATGTGGAGCATAGGACGTCTATAGACCTCTTTTGTCCGAGGCCTATATTCGTTTCTCGAATCAGATTGTTTTTCGGATTTGTGGGTGATTGGTCCACAGAATCCTACCTCAGTCAGATATTAGAGACAAATATCTACTGATATGTATACTGATGTATAGGACCTACAGTTTAACGCCGAATCCGAACGGCGCTGATGATCATAGATCTTTTGATCACTAGGTGGAGCCATTTTTTGGCTCATTAAACGCGAAAAATCATCGCGTTTGGGCGCACGTGGGATTGAACTCGCGTCTACAAATCGCGAGTCAATCGCACAGAGCGGTGAGCCACTCGACGCCACCAATAATAGGTAAATATGTATTATGAATAAATTGTATCTTATCTATACAGTACTGACTTTTGAAAGTTATCAAAAATTGTTGTATATGATATGTGAAAGGTTTCAAAATTACTTCAACCCTTCACATATCAAATGCAACAATTTTTAAAGGACTTTGCAATATGTCATATAAATTGTTGCAACAAAAATGTTTCTGAAATTTTCCACATAAAGAAAATTTTACAAAATTTTTAGTAATTATTTTAAAACATTTTATATAAAATAAAATTATAAATCTCGCAAATAAGAGTAAATGTTCAGATTAGGATGCCTCCCCAATGACCTTAACCTTGACATACCATGTATTGTCAAAATCATGACTCCGAGTGATCCCCAGCAGGTTTTAGCCGTCGCTCGTCTTCTAAAAAGTCAGCCGTTAAAAAGTCATTAACAAAATGTTTAAAAAATAACGAATTATTTCTGCTATACATATACGATATTAAGTACTATACTATATCTCCCCTTGATGTGAAATGTTCGATTTTTTTTATGCGAAACAATTCTCCCCTCTTTTTCCTTGCATAAGGGGACGACTTTCATAAATATTACTGTGACACATGGATTTAGACTTTGTGCAACAATACAATCATAGAAGTCGTGAGCCCTTAAAACAGAGGAGGAGGTGGGATAAAAGTCGCTTCGCGCAGAAGTGATACGCCCCTAAAGCAGGGAGGAGATGAGGTGGAAGTCGCTTCACGCGGAAGTCGTATGCTCCTGAAACAGGGGAGGAAGTGGAGTGGAAGTCATGTCTTGAATTTTAAAATAAATAAAGAATGGTCTCAGTACATATGAATATAAATTTTTGGTAAATATGTAGTATGAGGGACTACCCTCCAGTGACCTTGACCTTGACATATGTTGTCAGGGTCATGACCCCGAGTGATTTTGAATAAATACAAATATTTTGCTTCAAAAACACAAATTTCCTGCTTTACGAACAAAAATTATATAAGACAATATTTTGTGCTGTTAAAACAGAGAATTTATTTCATCGATGCGCAGTCGTGTCTAAAAGTTTGTTTTATTGATATATAACATTTTTTTGTTAATAACTTCTTAACAAACACAAGGAACGACAATTAAAACTTGTTGGAGGTTACTCAGGGTCATGATCTTGACATGTCATTGGAAGGGGGTTCCCTGATCTGGACATTTACCTAAATAAGTTGTTTCTGACACTTCATTCATCGTAATAAATTTGAAAACTAGTAGTTGAGCTGTTTCTGAAATTTTTCATGTGCATAAGTTTTAAAAGTTTTAGTTGAATTATCACTGAAATATTTCACATGAAATAGTTTTATAAACTATTCAGTTAAGTTGTTTCTAAATTCTTTTGTAAGCAATAAATTCGAAAACTCAATTAAGTTATCTCTAAAACTTTTCAGGAAATACGTAGTTTGGCAAACTGCTCAATTCAGATGTTTTTGATACTTCTCATATGTAATAAAAATAACAATCAGTAAGTTGCATCAGCAAAAAAAAGTTTTGGGTAAATATTGAAAAAAAGATTAAATCTCTTCGATGATCTTGACTTTGACACATATCAAGATCATGACTTTGAATAACATTCAATAGGTTTTAATTAGCCATAGTTATTTATTAAAAAATATAGTTGACAATACGAACGTATACATCAAACTTTTACGTAAAATGGAATAAAGCAAATAAATTCTTCGCTTTAAAAATTGAAGTCCTATTATATGAGAGAAGCGAGAATTTAATATATAGAGAAGCGATATTTTAATATATAACATTATTAGAGTATTTTACCTTTAAGGCTCCTGAATACCAGCGACGGCCATGTTGGAATTGTGACGTCATAGGCGAGAAAAACACATTAATTTTTCTTGCGTCCCATTTTTTAATAAAGACAATTTGGATGAATTTAAAAGGCGAGATCGCCTCAAAAACACTTGTGAAAATTGGCGGAAACTGTCCTTTCCTCCTCTGATAGTCAGTAAATGGTCGTAAAAGGCACGTAAAGTGAGCCTATACTCGGGCAGAATCACACATTTTGACAGCTGATGAAACGAGTGAAATATACGCTTTTACGTATAAAATTTCACGATAACTGCAGTTTCCGCCAATTTTTAGGACTTTCACGAGTACGAGGGAAGTCACATTTTCACAAATAAGCAAATATTGACAAAATGGCACGCAAGAAAAAATTTGTCGTCAAAACATCACTTTTTCACGCCTATTAGTTCAGACTTTTACCATGGCGAGGCGCTATATACACACACAAGCATGAACCCATGTCTGTGCGCTCCCCTTCTACCCGAAAATGAGCACACGGACATGAGCTTGCAATTGTGTGTATAACCAGTAGTGTACTACCAGTTTTGCTAGCCACCGACTTCGGTGTCGCTACCCATCAACACGGAGTTCTTGGCTGAGTATTCAGGAGCCTTAAGTCGTATATTTTATCATCTTCTTCGATATTTTTTTAGTGGAATAGACATACGGAGGATACTAATTTAACAAACTAATTAAAAAAAAGACGCATCTGCAATAGTATTGTAACAAAAATCATTTTTTTCATAACTTATGAATGACTTCTGTAAAAGTCAATAATATTATATAAACTGGTAGGTGGAATTTGATTTCTTCACAGAATTCGAATTTATAATACAAGATGATTTCAGTTTTTGACGATTACATCGCCATCTTTCAACGAAAATGACTTCGACCGTAGGTTAAATCAATGTAATTTTTTCTGCAGAATCTAAATATGCAATAAAAAATAGGGGTTTTCATTTAAGATTTTTATTATCCCCCCTCCCCACCCCATGGGGGTGGGGGTAAAGAGTCGAGTTTGGTATCATTGGATCCCCCTTCGAGACAAACAAATTTTCCACTTTTTTGATTCTATGCGTAGTTTTCCAGATATTCAGTGCCGAAGCTTCAAATGGATCACCCTGTGTATAAAAATCAAAGTCATACAGTCTTGTATAAAAGTATTAGGCACCTTGTAACTACTAAATTATTTTAAATTATAGTAAAGTTAAATAAAATAAAACTATATACTTTTAATTACTCAATATTTATTGCTTTTATCAGTATTTAGTAAGTCCTCGCTTAGCTTTAGTTCACGTAAACATTTAACTGTTTGAGCTATTTTAAACTCCTGCTCTGTTTGTGTAAAAGTTGAATCAGCAAACGCTGTTGTTCATTTTTTAGGCATTATTTACAGGAAAAAACTCAACTTTCAAATATGAACAATAGAATATGAAACGGACACATATATAGGGTGTCCCATTTTAATCGACGCATCCAAATATCTCCTAAAATACGCCAGCTATAAAAAAATGTTTCAAATAAAAATGGAATGGTGTCGAGGGGGACACGTTTTAGTCACATTGTTTTTTTTCTAAGTGGAGGCGCTAAAAAGATATGAAGGTCACCTCCACTTTTTTAAATGGAATTATGTAATTTTTTTTAGATAACATGATTCCTCTATTTTGCATATAAAAGTATTAAGGTAGAGATATCAAAAAACCAATAGTTTTCGAGATATTTTACGCTTTATTTTGGTACATTTTGACACAAAATGTTAAATAACTCGTAAACTGTTGACTTTTTGATTATCGTACCTTTATACTTTTGTGAATAGAATAATGAGATAAATCAAGTGGTATAAAGAAAACACATAGTTGCTTTAAAAAAAATATGTATGCAAAATGGATAATTTTTTAAATACGCAACTGTGTTTTCTTTACACCATTTGATTTATCTCATTATTCTGTTCACAAAAGTATTAAGGTACGATAATCAAAAAGTCAACAGTTTACGAGTTATTTAACATTTTGTGTCAAAATGTACCAAAATAAAGGGTAAAATATCTCGAAAATTATTGGTTTTTTGGTATCTCTACCTTAATACTTTTATATGCAAAATAGTTAGAGGAATCATGTTATCTAAAAAAAATTACATAATTCCATTTAAAAAAGTGGAGGTGACCTTCATATCTTTTTAGCGCCTCCACTTAGAAAAAAAACAATGTGACTAAAACGTGTCCCCCTCGACACCATTCCATTTTTATTTGAAACATTTTTTTATAGCTGGCGTATTTTAGGAGATATTTGGATGCGTCGATTAAAATGGGACACCCATTTTCACTATGAGCACCGACAATAGCATAATACTTTACTGGAAAAATACAAATATTCTCAATTGACGCGCTCTATCATTTATTACTCTATTGAAACCATATCTGTTTATATTTTAGAGTAAACATACCATTCAACGAATCACTGACAAAAGAATAAATTCTAAGAATGCATGTCGAATGTAACTGTAATAATAAGGGTGCCTAATATTTTTGCACAAGGCTGTCGGTTAAACCTTTTTACAATATTTACGTCAAATTTTGGTCAATTAATTCTAACAAGAATAGATACTTTTTATGATTATTGAATCCGTAAGTGAAAGATGTGTTCTACCATATCAGGTTTTTCAGAAAGATAAAGTTGGTATCCTATAAAAACATATTGTATTTTATTTTTTAGGTATTATAGTTTAATTTTCCACACCTAAATATG